TGCGGGGGGGGCCCCGGAAGGGGGGGGGGGCGCCATGCAGGACTCTGGCTCCTACTGCCACGGGGGGCAGGGAAGAGGGGACGGAGAAGTGGGTTGGAGACTAGCCCCAGCCGTATTCTCCCCTACGGAGCCGGCTGAAGGTGCAGGCCCCACGCATGGGCCATGTCGTGGGTGAGCTGGCATGTTGCCTGTCCGGCTCACGGGCCAGGAGCAGGTGTGGAGTAGGACCGACCATGGGAGAAGCCCCCGGCTCCGTCTCCCTTCTCAGGCCCCCGTGGTTGGTCCCGCCATGGTGCTGGGTTCCAGGCAGCACCCCTCACGGACGCACTCCAGCACAGAGCCTGAGCTGGACCTCAGTTCCCACCCACCCACGCCAGAGCAACCGAGCAGAGAGCTAGGATGTGGGACTGCTGGGTCCTATGGCCCGGCCTTCAGCTGCCTGCACAGATGCCCCCGTAATAAGCAGGAGGAGCCCCCTCTTCTATAGCACACACGTGACTTCACAGCCGACCTCGCCAATGGCGCGAAAAGCTCTTTTGGGGGGAAACCAATTGGCCATTGGTGACTAACTTGGGCCCCTTAGGAAACGTTAGCCCAGGAAGGAACCTGGATGGATTTTCCATATGTGCCTCAGTTTCCCCTCTGCAATGCAGGGACAATCACACTGACCTACTGGCGCAGCTCCCATGGGCTCTGTGCTCCAGCCCTCGTCGTGGAACAGCCTCTAGGGGCAACGCCTAGAAGGGGACAGATCCCCAAGGGGGTTTCACTTTTCCAGCCTCACCTCCCTCCTTCGGTTGTCTGTCACCCGCACTCCTGCTCTACAGCGGGAGTTGGGTTCAGCACATCCCACCGAGAGCTGCTCAGGGAGAGACTTGGAGGACCCTTCATGCACCTCACCAGGCATTTACAATGACTCAAGCAGCCCTGTCAAAACAGGACGGTTGCGTCTACCCTGGCATGATTTTGCGCAAATACTTTTAACAGAAAAGTTTTTCCGTTAAAAGTATTTCCGCAAAAGCGTGTCTAGATTGGCACGGATGCTTTTGCACAAAAACATCCGTGGCCAGTCTAGACACGATGTTGCGCAAGAAAGCCCCGCTCGCCATTTTAGCCATCGGACTTTTTTGCGCAAAATAGTTCTTCCCTGTCTACACTGGCCCCCTTGTGCAAGTGTTCTTGCGTAAGAGGCTTTTTCCCGAGCGGGAGCGTGAAAGTATTTGCGCAAGAAGCACTGAATTCTTACATTAGAACGTCAGTGTCCTTGCGCACATTCAAGTGGCCAGTGTAGACAGCTGGCAAGTTTTTGCGCAAAATCGGTCGCTTTTGCAGAAAATCTTGCCAGTCTAGACGCACCCGACACGTATTAGTCAGCGGGAGCACCGCTCAGCAAGTCCCTAGGCCAGCACTGAGGAGCTGAGCCCAACCAGCCTGTAGGGACTCTCCCTCTACACTCTGGCATCTCCTGGGTGAGCACCCAGTTGCCTTCCCAGGCGACTTATCCCCTCTCTCCCTGCAGGCCTTCCTGGTCCTAGAGCTGGGGGATTCTGCGCAGCTTCCCTGCAGAGGTGGGGAAATCCATCACCCTCTGGGGCATTGTTTGCTAGGTGTCTACGTCCTGGGGATGGGTCATCCTCCTTGGCCTTTCCTTTATGGGCTCAGTCAGGTTCTGAATCAGGTGTCATCCGTGCTTACATCGCTTGGCCGGCCATGGGAGTCTCCCCCCAGAAACCAGGCAAAATAAGGGGGAAATATACCGGCATTAGGAAAGGTTCAGAGAAGGGCAACTACAGTGATGAGGGGTTTGGAACGGGCCCCGTATGAGGAGAGATTAAAGAGACTGAGACTTTTCAGCTTGGAAAAGAGGAGACTGAGGGGAGAGATGATCGAGGTCTATAAAATCATGAGTGGTGCGGAGAAAGCGAATAAGGGAAAGTTATTTACTTGTTCCCACAATATAAGAACTAGGGGCCACCAAACGAAACTAATGGGCAGCAGGTTTAACACAAATAAAAGGAAGTTCTTCTTCACACAGCGCATTGTCAATCTGTGGAACTCCTTGCCAGAGGAGGCTAGGACTATAACAGTTTAAAAGAGAACTAAATAAATTCATGGAGGTCAAGTCCATAAATGGCTATTATCCAGGATGGGTAAGGAATGGTGTCCCTAGCCCTAGAGGGTGGAGATGGATGGCAGGAGAGAGATGGCTTGATCATTACCTGTTCGATTCACTCCCTCTGGGGCACCTGGTGCTGGCCACTGTCGGCAGACAGGCTACTGGGCTGGATGGACCTTTGGTCTGACCCAGTGTGGCCGTTCTTATGAAATGGAGGCACAAACTGAACGCATAAAGTTATGGAAAAGTCCAGAGACACCCTGCTGGGTGTCTCAAAGGTGGCCATGGTTCCCTCGCTCAATGCAATGCTCCCAACAGACTCTCCTTCATACTCCAAGGGTCTGTGCAGAGCAGCAGCCAGGTCCTGCCACACACTGATTTCCAGAAGACTTGCCTCCTTGCAGGATGACCCCTCCCTCCATACTCCGTCCCAGATTTCACACCCCGCCTCCAACCAAGACCCGTGTTCTGCACGGCCCGGCCCTCGTCCAAACAGTTCACAGCCTCTGGTCTGCTGCCCCTGTAAAACAGAGTCGGGTTCTGTTAACTGGAGCTCACCGTTGGGTTTACACACAGCACTGGGTTGTTTTAGGTTAAAACAAAGAGGCAGGATTAAGGGAATTCAAGTGTAAGAGATGAAATTAGCTGCAAGCAAACCAGAGGGAACAGCTAAAAGTGAAAACAAGCTGGCAAGTTTGGTTTCAAGCGGTCTGACCCCCAGATAGGAACTGGGGTTAGTCAATTTCTCTTCCCCCAGAGGCCCAAAAGCACAGGTGCCTTGGCCTCCTTCAGCAGAAGAGATCACATAGGTCTCTGCCCCATTCCTACTCCAGTGACCCTCTGGTGCGGGTTCTGCTGATGGCTAAAGTAAAGCGAGGAACGCCCCATGGATTCTGGTGGGCAGAGGGGCTCTATGCTCCTTCCCCTTCTTGATTGCTGAACTGCAATTTGTTCTGCTTCCTGCCACCTCCTTCCCCTGCAGTGTTGAGGGCCCTGCTTCCCCCAGTGTGCATACAAGTAAACACAGTCCCTTCTACAGCGGGGACCCCTAGCTCCTTTGGCCGTGGCATTTGGAACATCAGCCAACACCATCCAGGTGGGTTTCAGGACTGTACCGCAAGTTATTGACAAACAAGTGAGTGGTTTTCAAATGATCCGTCCCCAGGCCTGCTTGGTACACAGGTTACTTCCACGCCATGCAGGGTATGAACACGGGGAGCTTTCTGCCACAGCCAACTCCACACAGCAATCGCTTCTGGGGAGGAGCACAATGGCCGCTTACCAGCCCACGGTACCGCCACGCAGCCCAGCAGAAGCAAAGCCAGGTGAGCCCACCAACTTGAGAGAGGACCCCTCTGTGCATCCCAGATCTGGCTGCCTGAGCCGCTGGGGTCTTCGGCAACTGGGGAGCAAGACACAGAGATCTCGCAATGGCTCTGTCCCTTTAAGACGCCTGTTTGCCGTGCCAGGGGACCTGACCTCAGGAGCCTCAGCTGAGTTGGATTAAGAGAGATGGGGGGGGGTAGGTACTTTGGCTTTTTCCCCCCCAATGCTTTTAGAATGCGCTCCCTCCCAAGCTGCATTCCCAGGCTTCCATAGCGTGGTACCAGCCTGGCCCTTGGTGCTCCCCGTGGCCGGCCAGCTCACCCACCGCTGAGACCACCGGGTCAGACTCCCAGGGCTGTGCCGTGGCCCCAGGAGAGCAGCACGGACCTTGCTGGGGAAGGACCAGGTCCCCGTGAGGGGGCCATGGGAGGGAGCCAGGGCCCACCAGGTCCAGAGGGCGGGGGAGGCAGCAGGGGAGCAATTCTAGCCAGACCCTGCCAGGCATCGCCCCCAGCGATGAAGGACTTCACTGAAATCACGCTGCGCCCGGAGAGGCTGGAGCAGAGCAAGGTACGGACGATGAGCGGACCCCCGGGGGAGGGGGCTGCATGGGGTCTGGGCAGCAAACCCCTTTGGCCCGGAGCTCCCATGGCTGGGGTCCCCTCCCTGCCCCCCGAGAGTCACCTCCCACGCCCTGAGCCCCCCTCGTGCTTCCCCGCCCCCCCACCGCTGAGCCCTCTCTGCCATGCAGTGCCCCCATCCTGCGATCCAGCCATGCAGTGCCCCCATCCTGGGATCCCCCATGCCTGGTGCTGCCCCCATCCTGGGATCCCCTCACCAGAGGGGCACCTCCCTAGGGCCTCGCGCCTCACAGGTCCCGCATCTGCTTCCCTGCATCCCCCCTCGCTCTCCAGGGCTCCTGGGACTCCGCTCCAAGGCCAGGCCCTGGGCCCGTCTCCCAGCAGCAGGAAAGGGAATCAGGCCTGCCCACTGCCCCAGGCCCCCTCACTCTTGATGCCTTCGCACCCCCCCCAGCGTGCTGCCCCAACTCCCTGAGGGCCCTGAAGCTGCCGCCCCGCC